CATAGCTCTTTTACGAAGCATCTGTTTGCTAGTAGACTCTCCGGACTCTGTTCCCAGCTTTTGCGCTTTCTTCAACTCATGCAATGTACAAGACTTTTATAAATGATTATGCTTTAGTTTAGGCTCCCTCGCTTGGTACAAACCACATAATCCACAATGGTAAGTAGTTGATGAGCTCCTCCATGCCGACTATTGCACGTTTCTTTCGTTTAGTCGAAGGCCGCCAAGAAGAAGTCAAGCAAGAAGGCTAGATCTGGATCCGAAGTCGCTTCGTTCGACCAAAAAACCATTAATGAGTTTAAGGAGGCTTTCGGCATTATGGATCAGAACAAGGATGGAATTATTGACAAGGTTGCACTCCAAAATCTTTTCTTCATGAGCAGGGTCAATGTTAGCTTTTAAGAACGATCTCAAGGATTTGTACGCCATGATGGGACAGATCGCTTCTGAGAAGCAAATTGAGGACATGATCAAGGAAGCTCCAGGACCAATCAACTTCACCGTCTTTTTGACATTGTTCGGAGAGCGATTGACAGGTAAAAGCCGAGTTTAAGTGGTGTGACCACTTCACAAAGTTATTCTCATCTAGGAACTGATCCCGAAGCCACGATTGTCGGTGCATTTGCCATGTTCGACAAGAAGGACTGTGGAAAGCTTAAGGAGGAAGAATTGATAAAGATCCTCCAAAACAAGCGAGGAGAGCCCCTTGATGAGGACGAGATCAAGGCTATGTACAAGGTAAGACCATTTCTCATCATTTATTAATTTTCTCCAATATCTCTTCAGTATGTAAATTTAAACATCTTTAGGGCAAACCTCCAATTGAGAACAACGAAGTCGATTACAAGGCGTTCGCTCACCTTATCACCACTGGTGCTCAAGACGAACTTGCAGCTGCATAAATTTCCATATTTCTGTCGACGAAAGAATATCACTCTAATGCCAGTCTACTCCTCAAAAATCAAAAAAATCGTTTAGAGAAAGAGTCCGATTCGCATTAAGCACAACTCGCCGTTACAGAATAAAGCTGATTGTTTCATTTATGGAATTCAATTGTATAGAATACATCATACCTCGATAAAACATTGGACTATAAGGGAGTTTGTCAGTCCGGTCTATCGATGATAGCGTGTCTATTACACTAAGGTTCTCCATACTTCATACACTACCTATAAGATAATTCATAGTATCTGAAGAACTCGCATAGATGTCTTAATGACTGTATCGTCTCAAGAATGTTCATAGCGCATCTTATCTTTCTATTGCTAGTAAGTCTAAACATCGTTGAGTTAACATGAATGGAAAAGCTGATTCGCCCACTGTACTAAAAATCACGTCCTTTCAAACTTTTGAGAAAAAAGAAAACCCTCATGAATCCCACAAATATAATCCTTTTAATTGTTAAACGCATATATTTTCTAACTAAGATCTATGAATTGCCTAGATACGAAAGCTAGTGCGATATGGTTACTTACCATGGAAAATCATGTCGGCAATGGATGTGGCTCTCAGTCTCTTGAAGTTTTGCTAAAAAAAGCAGATGAACGATTGCATAGCTTAGGTTATCTTTCGATATTATGCCAATCAAAAAGTTTTTAGCATCAAAGAAAAATGAAACTTGAAAGTGAGGAATTTTGGAGAAATTCTTCCACTCATAGTGCACTTTGAGACTGCATTTTTCTGTCTTCCGGGGTACAACAAAACTGTGAAAATCTTCAGCTCTAATTTTCACACCTTATTACTTAACTTCACTTTCTACTCCTAAGACTCACAGGAGCAGGGGTCTAAGACGTAGCTATATATGAAATTCAAAAACATAGTATCTTCAACTGGTTATATTCACTTGACATATTTGTGCAAACTTCGGAAGCTTTGTCCTTTGACTTCCGTTTTCTGCGAAATTTTTGACGTCTCTTTCGCCACAAACTCTTCACAAAATGATTTACTAGACTAGAATCTGCATGTTGCAGTGTTTGAAAGGGAGAGCTCGAAAATTTTACTTTCTATACCGCAACCCCTAAGCAGGCCGGCAGAAGTAGCCTTGCACATGACACCCTAGCATCTACATTACTATTTAAAATGACAAAATTAGGTCGATACTATCTTCAATATAATTAATAACTATACCTGGTCAAAATTCATGATTTCCCAGCGCGATAAATCCGCGCTAAATCGAATAGATGTGACAAAAACGCTCTACATCAAGTAGATGTGTGAAACTAAAAAGGTTCCAATTTGAAGAAACCATCTTTTGTAACATCAAGCATCTTCTTAGAACCTTGCATTTATACATCAAAATAGGGTATGGATGCTATATGTGTAGTCCT